GTTCCATTCTAATCAGTTTAACAAATTAGATTATACTGAGGCACAGGAGCCAAAAGGTCTTATCACATTAGTTGTCAATGTCAACTAGAAGAGTTGTTCTCAACCTTGGCCACACATCATCAGGGAAAGTGGAAGATCCCAAGCTCATGACACAAGCCAGGTGAATGAAATCAGAATCTCAGAGCTGGGGGCATTTTCAAAGATTCCCCAGGATAGTCAAAGGATCACTGATCTACAGTATCAATTCACTGATATTGAAGAAACATCTTTGCAATGTAAATCAATATAAAGTAAAAAGCAAAGTGTTTATGCCTAGTCAATGTGAGGTCAACATTGAAAATAAAAATTTAAAAGGACACTGGGGATTGAAATTAAAGCAATAGGTCAAGTAATTCAAATTAAAATATTATTTTATTTGAAATAGTTATATGTATACTTGTTCTTGCGTACTCAATCTAGCATGAAAAACTTAATGGATTATAATTTATATGTGGGGGGGCATGAGACTAGGAGCATTATTGATTTCCTTTGCTTCATACTTTAATTCACCTTGCACATGCAGACACTGACATCATATAATTAAAGCAATTAAAACCAATGTGTAATAGCATTTATTAAAAGTTTGAGCCCTATATAGTTACTAATTTGACACAGTTACAAGTTCAAAGTAAAAATAATCATTCTTTAGCCTATAAAAACAATAGGCACCTAATATTAAGATAAAATTTTGGTTGTTTTCCTATAAAAATAAAATACAATTCATAAAATTAGTGGTCATATATAAAACAAAAAATAGGAAAAACAAAAATCAGGGTCATAAAACTTGTTATGATAATGGTTTTGACCTAAAAATGGCCTTAATAATGGTTAAAATGATTATCTGCATGGTTAGACTATTTGACTTTGTAGAAAAGCAATTCAGCAATAGAGAGAAGATTTGAAAATAATCAAGTGATAGGATACAAAAAAGATCTATTTGCATATATATTCCACATTCCTGGACAATGTCACACTTTTTACAACAGCACTTAATCAACAGCAAAACAATATTTTTTAATAAAAATAATTGTTAGATATTTGATTTTATTTTAAATATATTCTTTCAAGAATCTAGAGCGCATGACGCCAAAATGAATTAAGAACTTAAGAAAGGTTCAAACTGTACATTATGTAATCCAAATTATATGTGCTCAAACTGGTTAATGTTTGTGAGCGGTTTCTGCAAACAATACAGAAAGCCTCAGGTATCACGATTATTATATATGCCTTACATTGGCAGAGCATCCTTTCGGCCAGTATCTGTTAAATTAAGAATAAGCAATAGAATCTGCTTTAACATGAGATTATAAAAATAAAAATGTGGATGCATATGTTCTTGAGAGTATGAAGATTAGTATCTATTATGAGAGAACTAAAATACAGATGATGCAATATTTACATTATAATCTAATCTCAAATCTGCTTTCACTGATCATCTGGCTTAAGTTAAGGTATAGTACTAGTAAGGACATAAAGCTATCAATAACAAAAGTTTACCAGTAACAAAGTAATTTGTATTCCTTAAATATCCCAATTTAATAATATATATCTTCACATATGCTTAGGAGCTAAAGGACAAGAGAAAATATTTATTTAAGTTTAAGAAAACAAGCATTTTAATAATATACATATGTAATTTTGTAGCTTAGAATACTGCATATTTAAATATTAGCAACCAACTTTATTACAGCTTTGTTACTCTTATTATATATTAAAGATCATTTTGAAAAACAATGAAAACTACAGAGAATTACTGTCATCATTTTTGCTACTTGACTTATGTAAGATAGCAGCTTGAATGTTCTTTATTTTTCCATAAATTTCCTCGCAGATAAATGTGCATATTTACTCTTTTAAAATTAAGCCAGCTATTTCTCAGAATATTAAAAAATATTCTTGGGTACAAATGATTTTTATTATGTGTTCAATACAAATGTTCACTAAAATAAATTCAAGCTGCATTTAATCTCCAATTACTATGGACTCAGGCACTATGATTGTATTAGATCAATATTAAGGTTTGTTTGCTTTCTCAGCATAAGGCATCAAAAGTCCTTCAAAACAAGTTAAATTAAATGTAATCAATTCTATTTTATATATGGAATGTGGCTTTTTTGTAAATGGAGGAGAATATAAAATTAGAAGGTAATATGTCCTTAAGTTTTATATTTTAGAAATTACTGCATTAATAATTTAATTATATGGACATAATAAGGTTAATATTTCTCCTAAAATATAAACTTGTATATAAATTGTATAACTAATATGACTAAGTATATTCTATCTATATTTACAAATATATTTATACACTATTAAATTATATTTTTCATGAATATATTACCAATTCAAGAAATATAATGCATTTGCTTTTAACATAGCCTCGGGCTTTGTGGCTATCTTAAAATATGTAAAATTTTTCATAGAATGTATATCTTGAGCAAAGTCCTTGATGACAGTCACAATTTCATAATTATAGTTATATTTGAAATGAGCAAAACTGTTTAGAAAGAAACTCAGGCACATCATTCAAAGTTTACAAGTAGCATTTTAAGGCATGTAATATAATTTGTATGTGGATGTCTTTGTGGCTTTTTCAGAATCATAAAGAAATTATATATTAAATTAAGGAAATAACCAATCAGTTTGTAAGTTATCAACCAGGAACACTTGAAACTTAAATGTGGAATTCTAATTATTAAAAACAATTATTATGGAAAAAATGTTTCAAATGGACAAAAAAACAAAAATCACACAACCAAGAAAATAGCTACAAGATATCACAAGTAATAAATCATGTGTGTGGTGATGAGAAACTCAAATGGCTGTGCTTACTTTTCAATGTGAAGAAGAAATGTTCCTAAGAAGTTAAGACTTCTATAATGTGCTTTTGTGTATACAGTTAACAATTACCACTTTATATAAAAACACAATCCAGAAGTAGTTCATGAAATTACAAATTAATTTCACCTACATTATACCTTTACAGCTCTGATGACAAATACAAAGTTGAGAAATGTTTCAGGTCAAGAGGAAAATATACTTATTTGTATTTAAAATTTGGATATTTGAGCAAAGATACATTTGAAAAGCTTATTTGAAAATATGCTGCAGTCTATTAACAATGACTATCTTTTAAATACTGAACCTATGCAAGTTGAAATTGATAGAAATTTCTATGAGAATTACATTCAGAAAAGCAAGCAAATTTATATTATTACAAGATACCACTTTTAAACATAAATAATATACTGAAATGCTTATAACCTTTTTATGAGTAGCAAAATTAGCAGACACACCATTTTCCTTATTTTTATAATTCTAATGAAACATATATGGTCATAATAAATAACTATGCAATAAGTTATTAACAGCTGCCATTAAGAATAAGTTTAATCCCCAGGCATTAGTTATAGTGATATGGTTAAGAAAAGTATGTAGGAAAGTTTAAATCCATTTATCTTGTGAAGTGGCATTCTAAATTAATATTGTAAACTCAATATTAGTCTTTCCAAAGAAGATCTGTTTCTGATTTTAAAAAACGTTGAAAAGCAAGTTTAGTTTGAGTTTAGTTTAATTGTCAAAAGCACAACTAAACAATCCAAAGTAAGGTACAGCCCTTGAACTATGTTCATTTTAAATAGATTCCTTAGACCAGTTCTCATGTCAAAGAATCACAATGCATTTTTTATCAATATTGCCCTTGATTGCACTTCTCTAGTACAAAGCAAGTGAAGCAGAAGAGGGACAATTTTTCTTTTCCTGTGTGGTGTTGAGGGAGTAGTGAAGAGAAAGGAAAAGAGAGAGTGTAGTATATTATTCCTTTTTTAAAGCAATACCATTTTATTGTGTTATTTAATAAATTAGCCTTGGAACAAAACATTAAGGCTTACTAAGATTCTGTCATCATTTCTTCCCTACTAAAATGTCACTTACTGCAGTATCTTCATCATCAACAGAGCTCTTGGGGAATCTCATTTCAGCACCACGGACAGTGACACCTCTACAAGAAGTGCACCACCCATGCCATTGGCCATTTCTTAAGAAACTTGCATACACTTCTTTTTTGTCAATCAGCAAAGATTACAGCCCTTACTATATTCAACAGAAATAGACTGAATATGATACACATTATTAAGGAGTTTAGTATTTTTTATCCCTAGCACCATGCATTTGCCATTTAATATTTCTGGAGAACATGCTGAAAATACAAGCTAATTACATAAGGTATCTGATAAAACCTAACACTAATTATTGATCACCAGATAGTTAATTGAAACTTTCCACTCATATTGAGTCTGAGGTCAATAATTATTCAAATTTCCAAGAGAAAACAGAAAATGTATTGTGATTCAGTATGCTTAGGTAGGCCTCCAGACTTTCCAAACAACCAGAACTATCTCTGTAAAACAGGTAAAACGTGTTTTGCTTCTTCCTACATAAAAAACTACAAACACTTTCTCTTTACCTTCTGGTCAACCAACTTAATGACGTCACTCTCTGAAAATTCACGTGTGCAGGTCCATAAGCCAAATCACACGTGCCTATCTCTGACTCTTCTGATTTGGGCTAGGATCATTAGTATGCAGTCCCATCATATCTTCTTAACAAGCCATATTCAAATTCCATTTTTTAAATAAGGTAACAGAGTTTGAACCAATCGCTTAACTGTAAGAGGTAATTTAAGCCCTAGCTTTATTATCTCAGAAAACCAGGGTGTTCCCTGATTTTCCAGGGATTCCCAGAATGAAGGCACCAGTCTACCACTAATCCACGAGGTATTCCCAACTCAAGCACCAAGTCAAGCTCTTATAACCACAACAACGACGACTGAAGTAACAAAACCAGAGCCACAAAAAATAAAATAAAACAAACTTTTAAAACTCTAGAAAACATTCCAACAAAATAAAACAGATGGAAAAGCTCAAGAAGGGCAGAAGAAAAAGAAAATCCACTGATCCTACCTTACAGTCCTCAGGACAGGATTTCACCGAGTACTCCTGCGATTGTAAATATTTATGGAGCACACTTTCAAACTCTTCGTATTTCTCCTGAGCGTGGTGGTCATAGTCTTGGTAAGCCTCGATGCATTGCCTGCAGGTGGTCATCTCGCCGCCCTCCTTGAGCACCACATCCAGACTACAGTTCAAAGTGTTGGGACTTGACAACCCCGAGAACAACTCCCAAAGTGTGTAGGAATTACAAAACGAAAGGTAAAAATCCGACAAGTTCCAGAGTGCAGTTGGATGTGTCCCTCTCACCTGCTGCTCCTCCCCCCTGGCCGCCACCCCCTGACTCCAGTTCCTGGCGCACACCGCGTCCGCGCTCTCCACGGTAAAGCACTGGCCCGAGGAGGCGCCTTGGGGGTAACAAGTCTCCAGGCGCCACGCGGGTTTGGCAGAGTTTCCTAGAAAAAGAGCCTTGCTCCGGTTGTTTTTGCCCCCGCTGCCCTTGCCGCCGCCACGGCCGTAGGCGGAGAGCAGTCTGAGTGCCTGGGCAGCGGGCGAGGACTCCCCCATGCTCGCCAGGAGCGCGGGCCAGGAGGGCTCCTGCTGCCGCGTCCGCTGCTGTTGCTGCTGCTGCTGCCGCTGCCGCTGTTGCTGCTGCCGCTGCTGCTGATGCTGTTGCTGCTGATGTTGATGCTGCTCCTTGTCCCGGGTCCGGGTCAGCTTGGCTTCGGCGCAGAACCACAAGTGATCAGAGAGCAGGACTGTGAAAAACAAGAGAGATGCCAGAGACAGTCGCCATTTCTGAGCCCTCTCTGAATCGATGAACGGTTTCTCGTTCTCCCGGGGTGCTGCCAACCAGATTTTTAAGCCGTCGTCATACTGCCGACACATCCAAGCACCCCTGGTCATATTTTGGGAACGCACAGCCCGGGCCGACTCCACCGTGAGGGCTCCTGTGCCGGTGTCACCACAATATGCATTGACTTAAAGGGTTTAATTTCCTTATCCCCTCCTCCCGTTTCTTCTCTCTCTTTCTCTCCCTTTCCCCCTCTCCCTCTCTCTCCCTCTCTTTTTTCTCTCTCTCTTTTTGCCTACATAAATATTACTAGGCTTTGGAGGAAGATCTGACTTGCTTCCGACCTAATCATCAGCCGACCCCATCCTCTGTAGAGTAGGAAACAATAGTGGAGAGAGAGAGAGAGAGAGAGAGGGAGAGAGAGAGAGAGGCAGTCGGAGGTGGCTGGGCTGGTGGCCGGTGGCGAGCTGAGTGCAGGAGGTGATGGTGGAGGTGGCGGGGTGGCTCTGCGCTGCTCTTCTCACCCAGGCATTGTCAGCGCGCGGGTCCCCATGGTCCTGCTGAGGACGGCCCGCTCTTCCCAGTCAGGGGCATGCCGCGTCTTCGCTGCCGCTGCCCGCAGACAGCGACCAGTGCGCCTCCCCAGTGGCTCTCCTCCTCCTTCCCCTTCGCTTCTCTTCCTCTTCCTCCTCCTTCCTTTCCTTCTCCTTTCTTTCCTCCTCCTCCTGCTCCTACTTCTCGCAGTCTCTCCCCGAGTCCGGAGCCTGGGCAGCCACCGCAGACAGGGCTCTCCCTCCCCCCCTCCCCCCACCCCGCTCTCGAACTGCTGCTGCCGCCGCTGCTGTTGCAGGTCTGCCCGAGGGCGCCTCCACCACCGGGCTCCGACTGCTGACGCCGCCTCCCCCGGACCTTGGGGCCGAATCGCCTGGGCTGGGCCTCCCAAGAGCCACAGTCATCTTCAGTCCCCAGCTAAGTTGCCGCCATCTTCGTCCTGGAGAAACACTTTTTTGGGGGGGAGCGCTGGCTTTTGCGTCATCTCCTCCCGCGCAGAGATCTCTCCATCCTGGCGCATTGGCACCGCTTTGGCCGGGCGGCGGAGGAGGGCGAGGACGCACGGGGCCGGGGGAGGGGATGGTGCGGCTGTGCCACTGGCCCCGCCTGGGCTTCTGAGCTCCAGTGCTTGCTCCTTCCTTTCCGTCCCCTGTCCTCACCTTTTGGCTTTTTCTTTCTGTTTGCACTGACAAAAGTCAGAATGCAGATGCATGACTGAAGATGCTAGCTCATTTCTTCCGCGTCTCCCACTGCCTCTCTGTCTCTGGAAAAAGTCCGAGTTGCAAGTGGTCGGTTCCAGGTTTCTCATGGGGAGGGGTCAGGGTAGTGCTCTCTTAACTAAGTGATGATAGACTTCAAAGGAAAGGTTGGAGGGGTGGGGGGTAGGGAAGTAAACACGAACAGGCTAGAGGAGAGAGGAGGTGACATCTGGTTTCTTTGTATGGACCTCGGGATCCCTAAAACAAACTAGAGATCAACAACTACCAGTGAGTTACATTTTGTCAAGTGAGTTTAGTGCTTTATATGGAACGGATGGTGTGTGCATGTACAACTATATATGCCGCTGTATATGTTACAGCGACGTATTTCATATTCGAAAGTACAGGTTAGAAATGGCCTCATAGAGTCAGAAAAATACAGTAAAACCTGGGATATCAGGGGTCACCGCCTAGCCCTCGGCTTGGATTTCAACGTCTTGATTTCGGAGGATTCCTCCTCGGATCTGGAGCATAAAAAGCTTCCTTAACCCCATTCCCCACCGAGTTAGGCTTTGCTGTCGCCCAAGACTTCCGCAGCAGCTGGCCATTGGCTGCCTGGGTGGCAGCCGCTGAATCCAAGCCTCTGGTGCCCCTTAGCGTTGGTTCTTGGAGTTCCAAGAGAGCAACAGACGCTCTGGGGAAGGGGTCCCACGCTCCCAGCTCATGCAGGTTGATGCTCTGAGCAAACATTAGTCTGGCTTTATCTGGGAACCCTGCCCACTCTATCCCTCACTCCCACCGGAGCTGTGGGAGCAGGAGGCTGCGCCTGTGCCTGGACCCTCCGCACCGCCTTGTCCAGAGTCCTCTCTGTTGTTGATGATCAAGGAAAGCCTTTTGTTCTATCTCGTATTCACCGTATCCCTTCCCTGCTTTCTAATGACCCTCATACTCTGTTGGGTGCACATTCACATGGGCAGTATTAGGGTGCCTGTGTTCTAAGTAAGTATATTGAGAAACCAAAGGAATGGATCATGATATTCATTTTCTAGAGATGCTATGGGTGTTGGGATGCCTGAGAAATGAGAATTTTTAAAATGTCAACATGCAAAACGTAATGGGCAGGATTCAACCAACTAGTTCTGTCCTCAGCATAATAAGGTGTATACTATATTTTACCCAGGTAAATTCTAAGTTCCTAAAAACTATATGCAGTGAATATTAAAGCGTGGTGCAGTTGACCATTGATTGATCTGTCAGGTAATGTCTTAGAAAGAACATTTGTGTACCTGTATCATTCTGACTCTTTGGATTTCATTGTGCTGCTTTTTTTTAACTACATAAAAGATCCCAACATTTACAGATAAGCTTTCTATGACAAGTTCATCCTTACATTAAAGCATCTTTAAGTAAACAAAAATTGAGGTTTTGCTGAAATTTTTTAAAAAAATATTTTCAGTACTTAAGCTGAGGAGATAGTTTTTCAATTTTTTTCCTTTTTCGTAATTTTATTGTTGAAAGTATTACAGATGTCCCCTTTTTTCCCCCAATGAGCCGCTCTACTCTGCTCCTGCTCCCTCTCCAGGCCTTCACCACCCTATTGTCTGTGTCCATGGGTTATACATATATGTATATAAGTTCTTTGTTTAGTCTCTTCCCGCCCCCCTCTTCATTCTAAAATATCTGTTTGTTGCATGCTTCAATGTCTCTGGATCTATTTTGTTCATCAGTTTATTTTGTTCATTAGATTCCACATATAAGTGAGATCATGTGATATTTGTCTTTCTCTGACTGGCTTATTTCACTTAGGATAATACTATCCACGTCTTTCCATGCTGCCTCAAAAAGTTTTGATAGTTTAAATTATTTTGACATTGAGTAAAATACTCTTTTCTCAAACAGTGATGTGGATAAAGATATCCTTTGAAGAAAATCTATTAAAATTTTGGAAAACATTGTTTTTTCTTCTACCCTCTTCTTGTGATTACTCTTTTCTTAAATTTAAAACTTCAACTTCTTAAACCAAATCAGATTTATATACAACATAAAGTCTGCTTGCAGACATAAGTGAGTATAAGGTCTGGCATTTTCCATTGTATAAATAAATATATGTAGAAGATAATATCAAAAGTCTGCATTTCTATTACTTTGTAGATTTTGCAGTACATAAAAATGAGCATATTATATTTTAAATCCTAAAGTTATTCTCCTTCCCTTTTGTTTTGAACCTGTTGAACCTTTGTTATAAAATATAGATGAAATGTAATAACCCAAAGCCTTTCTTCTTATAAACTCAGGGTGGGGATTTTTTTAATCTTAAAAAAAAATTATTAAGGAATTTTTCTTTCTTATCTCTGTTACCTATCTTTCTATCTTTAGCTCTATCTAGATTGTTATTTAATATCTACATTACAGGATTTAATTTCATACTTATTTCTCTTATCTGCCCCTTCATTTTTCTTCACCCTGTTTCTTCCTCATTTAAAGATGCTGCCTGGACAGGTTTATATTTCTCTTGTTCTCTCCTGCGTAAGACAGAAAGCTCAGAAAAATCCTTAGCTAGGGAAGTCTACAAGATATCCCTGAGCTGGGATTCTCACACAGAAAGCTCCTAGGCAGTCTAGAGTGATTAAATCAGAAAGCAGACTGGGAATGGGGAAAATAAAGAAATGAACAATATATAACACAAAGATGATCTTAGGACAGGTAGAATTTTAATATAAGAAGAAAAAATTCACCAGAATACTTCTGTTAGCCCATAGGGAGAAAGGTGAGCAAAGTAACTGAATACCTAAATAAGTGACCACTTCCTAAGTGTGCACCACCCCACCATCTCCCAGCCTGGCTTCCTTTGCATGCCATGTGCCTCCAACCCAGGCAATATAAACTTTCAGCCCAAGTCAAACCTGTTCCTATTCACAGTGATGAATAAGTTCCTCTTCCACGAATAAAAAGTAGCAAACGTTCTGCTGAAATGAACTATCACATTTGTTCTTAAAATATATATTCTTTCTCCCAAGTCCAGTTTTTTACTAACACCCTTCCCCAACCCCACTACTTCAAGTTTTTACTCTTCTTCACATTCCATGACCACTAGTCTAGAGTTGTGCTCGCTGTTGAGTGCTGTTGCTATTGGCAGATAGATTCATTATGACCCCCAGGGGGTGGTTTAAAGCTAAAAACCACCAGAGCTACTGATATCAAGCTAATTACAATTTCCCTTGACAGTGTTTCTCAGTATTGCCTCTATTGACATTTGGGGTCGATACTTCTTTGTTGTAGATGGCTGTCCTATACTTTGTATGAGGTTCAGCAGCCTCCCTAGCCTCAACTCACAAGACACCAGTAACACAATGCCTTCTCCCCAGTTTTGACAACCCAAACTGTCACCAAGTATTGCCAAATGTCCCCTGGAAGCAAACTTTCTCCCAAGTAAGAACCACTGCTTTAGAAACATCTCAAAGTAGTAGTGGTTACCTAATTCATATCTGCATGGGAGTTCTGGCATCAGAAATAAAGCTATGCCTTTTTCTCTAATACAGTGTATTTATAATCTAAGAAATCTTCACCTAGAATCATCACCTCATCATATAGTATGTCATAGAATAATTTTTAAAGACTACAAAATTTTGAAATTCCCTTAACCTCTCTTGCCTATACAAAGTTAAGGGGATAACTGACAATTATCATTTAAATCTGATTAATGTAGGAATTTTTCTCCATAACTCAGACTAATTTATTAACCAGATTGCTTGTATTAAAAAAAAATACTTCTTAATGATTTTTAGAGAGAGAGGAAGAGAAAGGGAGAGAGTGAAACATCTGTTGGCTGCCTTCTGTATGTCCTCTACTGAGGATCAAGCCCAAAACCAGGGCATGTGCCCTGATCAGGAATTTAACCTGCAACCTTTTAATGTAGGGGTCCTCAAACTATGGCCCGTGGCCCACATGCAAATACAAATATTGTATTTCTTCCTGTTTTGTTTTTTTTACTTCAAAATAAGATATGTGCAGTGTGCATAGGAATTTGTTCATAGTTGTTTTTTTTAAACTATAGTTCGGCCCTCCAACGGTCTGAGGGACAGTTAACTGGCCCCCTGTTTAAAAAGTTTGAGGACCCCTGTTTTAATGGATGATGCCCAAACAAGTGATTCACACCAGCTAGGGCCGTTTGTACTTTTTATGTGGACCCTCAAATATAATATATCATAAACTAAAATAAATATATACATCTTCTCATGTATATGTAAATCTAGAAGTTCTGTATGACATTGTAGAAAATTACAAAAAAACAAATAAGCAATTTAAAAAGTCATAAATAATTCCAACATCCAGATATAGTCACTATTTCTCTTTTGTAGTATCTCTCTAACATTTACATTATATTATAAATCCCCATTTTGTAACATTTGGGATTCACATAGGAATTATGATATATCCATGTTTATTAAATAATAATGCAAGTTTTCCTTTACTACTGCTTTATTAATTTTAATCAGGCATACAAAATCTAATGGTGTATCAGAACATTATATCTCCTTCTTCAAGCATGTGATTAAATCAGAAAGAGGACTGGGAATGGGGAAAATAAAGAAATGAACAATATATAAAATTAAAGATCCATTCCTCTCAACCAAGGTGAAAAAGCAAAACTGAGTTGTTACTTTTATCTTATTAGTATGCATATTTAGTCAAATTATATCTCACAAAATATTGCAATCATGTTTAGCAAAAATCTGATATATTACATTAAAACAATAGTGTTTCATATGATTTTTTAAATAATTAGGATAATAATACTCTCTATAATAGACTATATTTAAGTATTAGTTTTAAAGTAATCTGGACCTTGCCTTCTTCTAATAGTTCCCATGAGTCAGTATGTTTTAAAATGAGACAGATTTAAGGGTGCAGGCCCTCTGAAAGCAAATTGTCAATGACAACCAATCCCAAGTCTGCTTGCTCTCTTTTGATTCTAGAATAAACATGGGAAGACTGAGATGAAAGAGCATGCCTTGGCTCTTGAAGCTTAATTAAGGGGAAGAGATAATTAGGCCAGCAACCGTAATGCAAGGAAAAATACTCAACAGTTAGCAATTTGGGAA